CTGCTTCCTGCCCTGGAGCCAGGGCACCTATATAAGTAGATTACATAATATTCAGGGTCCAGTGGAAAATGGAAATGTAGTTCAATACTTGTCGGGGTCTCAAGCCCTAGGCTGGCCCCTGACCAGCAGGGGCCACTACAGACACTCCCCAACAAGGCGAACGGGAGAGGTAAGGTCGAAGGGTGATGAACACACCACAAGCACCCTTGAGTTCTGTCGAAGTAGGAACCACTTCAGTGAAGAAGTGTGCAGGCCTATAAAGCTTACAAAAGACAAGTGCAGTAGGGGAGCCAATCAGCGAAAAGGTCATGCAGGCGTGGGTGGAGCATGCACAGGGGCAAAGTATAGGGATCACGCACTGTCCACGTGTCCGGAACCAAAGAGGACCTATCCCTGCCGGTGGTCTGATCTTATGTAGCTTAACCACAACAGCCGCAGACACGCCCCTCTAACATTCGCCAGGCACCATATTGTAATGGAGATGTTAGGCAATGCCCAACAAATACTTACTAAGAATTTCAAGATGGTGACCACAGACAGTAGACAGGGATCGGGGCTCTGTGGGACGCCGGCCTGAGCAGCAGTCCGTATCTGCGGTTACCACCCTCTCCTGCAGTCCGTCCTGGGAAGCTCTTGGCACAACCTGAGAAGCCTCTCAGAGTTAAAGCCATGTGGGCTCCAGAGATGGTCACTTGGCTTTGAGCCTGCCTTGAGCCTCACTGGCTGTAGGCTTCTGTCTGCCCACCTCTCCCTGGCTCCCTCTCACAGGGATAGCTCTCCCGGCTCCTCAATTGTAGTACAAACGCCAGACTCGGAGATGCCTCCCTGGGCTGCCCAAGGCAAGTTTCTCTGGACTCAGTTCCTTGTCTGTGAAGTGAAGTGAGTACTGACCGGTCATACGCGTATCATAGTAACTCTGTCATTAAACTTAGAGTACTTGTTAAGCAGATGCTATTAAATAGTAAGGTTTCTTCCATTTTATCCTAACAATAATTCAATGGGGGTAGTTTTCAGGATTATAGAAAGGGTAACCAGGAGGAAGCGCCTGGCTCCTGGCAAAGGAAGGAAGGAAGGAAGGGAGGGAGGGAGGGAGGGAGGGAGGGAGGAAGGAAGGAAGGAAGGAAGGAAGGAAGGAAGGAAGGAAGGAAGGAAGGAAAGGGTAGTGATATTTGTCTACTTTTCTTGCTGACTTATCCCTGGCTGCTAGAATAATGCCAGATACACAGAAGGCACCCAGAAGCTATTTGTGGAACAAATGAAGCCAGGATTCTAATCCAGATCTGCCTGGCTTCCAACTCTGTGCTTATGCTTATTCATGTGTCCTGTGGGTGTGTGTCCTATCTTGTGAAGGGGTGGGCGGGTGCCAGTGGAGGAGGAGGAAGCTCCCTCAGCTCTCTTCAGGCTCCCAAATCTTGTGTTTCAAAGAGCCTGGGCTGCACCCTGCTGGAGAAGCATTACTTTGGAAGTTGATGGAATTGGTCTTGCCCCAGGACTCTTCTGGGGGCTAAACAAATGTTTAAAGATTTATTTTTATTTATTTGAAAAGCAAAGTGACAGAAAGGAGAGAGGTCTTCCACCTACTGGTTCACACCACACCAGCCAGGGCTGGACTGGGCCGAAGTCAGAAGCTTGGAGCACCATCTGGGTCTCCCACATGCCAGCAGGGGCCCAAGGACTTGTATCATCCTCCACTGCTTTTTCAGGCACACGAGCAGGGAGCTGAATAGAAGCAGAGCAGGTGGGACTCGAACCAGTGTTCTGATATGGGATGCTGGCCTCACAGGGCTGAACCTGCTGTGCCACAACACAGGCTTCTGAGGTCTTGAGAGTACTCTTCCCTCTGGGTCATGGCTAGAGACAGCCTAGGCTCAAATCCAGCCTTGCTGCCTACCCAGGGTAGCCTGGAGCAAATGCGTGGTATCTCTGAGCGCCAGTTACTCGTCTGTGAAATGGGTTCCATACTTCCTGTGCCTCCCTCCCAGGATGTCCCCTCCTCCGAGAGGCCCTGCACACAGCTGGCAAGCAGTGTATGTCGGTTGTTGCGCCATCCCAGAGCAGTTTCAAGGTTAGAGTTTGCTGCCTGACGTCTGGAGTCCACTGGGGCCTCCTGGAACCTGATCGGAGGCATCAGTCGGGGGAGAGTTGGGTCAGCTGCTATTTTTGGAGGTGTTAACCTCAGGGAGCCCCGGCCCCAGCAGCCTGTGGGAGTGGCGAGGTCTGGCCTCAGCACTTCCCGGGCCTCCATGTGATCTGGACTGGAGAGCACACAGCGGGCAGACCTTGTCCTCCCGGGCTGACCTCGGCCTTTTAGCCCACGCTTATCAGTACCTCCCTGGTGCTCACAGTGGCCTTGACCACTGCGTGAGGATCTCTCTGGGTCTGCAAAGAGTTTCCAGCCCCTGGACGTGAGGCAGCCTTGGAGAGTGAGAAGAGCTGCACCACGCGCTCAGCCTGTGTGTCTTTCTGCAAGCCACTTTGGCCAAACCTGTTTCTCTGTCTGAAAAACAGTGGGATGAAAGTCTCCATAGAAGGTTGTTGACAGAACCAGACTCTGGCACGTAGTGCTTGTTCAGTAAATGATCGATTTAGACAATCAGCTTCTAAATGGCAGGGACTCTGTCAGATTCAGCTGTGTGTCCCCAGTGTGGAGTGAATAATGAATTATAGAAGGCCCTGAATGGAAACATCCTTTTCGGCTCCCCCTTTCAGATTTTCCACGGTCACCCCTCACCCCAAATCTCACGTAGGAATCAGCCTCTCTGCGTCAGCCCTGACAGGTGAGCCTCTGCTCTCAGCTTTTAGGTCCCCGTGATACAAAGCTCACCCACATCCCGTATCAGTGTGCCTGAAGGCTCAAGCACCTGTGTCCCTGACTCCCATGTGGGAGACCCAGATGGAGTTCAGGGCTCCCAGACCCAGCCTGACCCACCTGCTGGACTGTTGTGGGCATTTGAGGAGTGAACCAGTGATGGAAGATCTCTCTGGACATCTGTCTCTCTCAAATAAAATGAAAAATAAATTTTAAAAAAATTTTAAAGAGTTAACATTTGGAGGAAAAAAAGATGGCACCTAGCCTTGAGCAAGGCACTTCACTTCCTTTATTCCGATCAACGCTTTAATGCTCTCATTAGCCCTGAAAAAGTAAATGAGGCTTATAGAGGCAACAGAAGACATTTGTATATGGCAGAGAAAGGACCTAAATCCAGATCTTTCTCAAAGGCGCGACCTTTTCAACGCTCAATGGATCTACTAGAAGATAGCACTTGTCCTCCATCCCTGTCCTTCCATAAAGATTTCTTAGACATCTGACCTAAGCCAGGTCCTGGGAGAGGCACTGGGAGAGGAGTCACGCATGATCTGTACCCCTGCAGCACCTGCGGCCTGTCCCAGAGACCATGGGAAGACCTGAGAGTGAGAAGCACAGGACTACTGGGGCACCACCAACCTTGGGGGTCCAGGAGGGCTTCCTGGGGAAAGTGACATGTGGGCTGGGTCGTGAAGGATTGTTGAGAGTGGCCAGGCTTGTGCCAAAGAAGCAGAGAAAGTGGTGCAGCTGTATAAACTTTTGGTGGAGCTGTATAAACTGCTGAAGCTGCACATCCGGACTGCCCAGAGGTCCCCATGCCAAGCTGGGGAGCCAGCTTTACATTACTTTATCTTACGAGAATGAGCACCCACTCTGATGCGCGTAGGAATCTCCTGGGTTTGCTTATCTAAAATCCAAACTTTCACTGAGTCAGTTGAGATAGATCCAATAATCTTGGTTTTTGGCCGGCGCCGCGGCTCACTAGGCTAATCCTCCGCCTAGCGGCGCCAGCACACCGGGTTCTAGTCCCGGTCGGGGCGCCGGATTCTGTCCCAGTTGCCCCTCTTCCAGGCCAGCTCTCTGCTATGGCCAGGGAGTGCAGTGGAGGATGGCCCAAGTGCTTGGGCCCTGCACCCCATGGGAGACCAGGAAAAGCACCTGGCTCCTGGCTCCTGCCATCGGATCAGCGCGCTGCGCCGGCCGCAGCGCGCCGGCCGCGGCGGCCATTGGAGGGTGAACCAACGGCAAAGGAAGACCTTTCTCTCTGTCTCTCTCTCTCACTGTCCACTCTGCCTGTCAAAAAAAAAAAAATAAAAATAAAATAAAAAAATAAAAAATAAAAAATAAAAATAATCTTGGTTTTAAGCAGGTCCCAGGAGACTGAGGTGCAGGCAGTATCCAGTGCTGCAGGGTTAAGAATTTTTGAAGGGGCCAGCACCACGGATCAATAGGCTAATCCTCCATCTGCGGCGCCGGCACCCCGGGTTCTAGTCCCGGTTGGGGCACCGGATTCTGTCCCAGCTCTCTGCTGTGGCCCGGGAGTGCAGTGGAGGATGGCCCAAGTCTTTGGGCCCTGCACCCACATAGGAGACCAGGAGAAACACCTGGCTCCTGGCTTCAGATCAGCGCGGTACACCGGCTGATCCAACGTATCCAGGTGAACTAATGGAAAAAGGAAGACCTTTCTCTCTGTCTCTTTCTCTCACTGTCCACTCTGCCTGTCCAAAAAAAAAAAAAGAATTTTTGAAGGAAATCAAGGAGGGTAGAGTTCTTGGTCCCTGTCTGTGGTGCTTCATAGACTAAGAAGGGAGACCAAATGTGAAAATAAGGACAGGCATTGGTGCAGCAAGTTCAGCTGATGCTGGGGATGTCTGCATCCTGGACAGAGTGCACGAGACGGAGCCCCACCTCCACTTCCAACCCAGCTCCCTGTTAATGCACCACCTGGGAGGCAGCAGGTGATGGCTCAAGTGGTTGGCTTTTGCTGTTGTAGGCATTTGGGGAATGAACCAATGGGATGGAAGATTCTCTCTCTCTCTCTCTCTGTACGTGTGTGTGTGTGTGTGTTGCTCTGCTTTTCACATAAACTTTATAAAAAAGTGAAAATAAGTAATTACAATGATAAATTAATAAAGTATTAATGATCAGCATCCCAAGAAAAATATTCTTAATATTCCAAGGAAAACAGGACACACTTGGACTTAGGATTTTTAAACTATTTATTTATTTATTTAAAAGGCAGAGTTACAGACCAAGAGAGGGAGATCTTCCATCCACTGGTTCACTCCTCAAAAGGCTGCAATAGCTGGGGCTGGGCCAGGCTGAAGCCAGGAGCCTGGAACTCCATCCAGGGTCTCCCACGTGGGTGCAGGGGCCCAAGCATTTGGGCCATCTTCCACTGCTTTCCCACATGCATTAACAGACAGCTGGATCAGAAGTGGAGCAGCCAGGACTCACACCAACACTCAGCACTCATATGGGATGCTGTTGCTGCAGGTGTTAATGAATGAATCTGTTGATAATCTTGCACCATAACATCAGCCGGGGACTTGTCATTCTTTAGCCATGAGGACATTTATATTGATTTGTTGGTATTAAGTTACTGAGCATGTACTTTAGGGTGCAGATGACATTCTCTTGGGTCCTTTTCCTTCATTCTTTCAAAATATCATTTAAAAGAACAGGGGCAGGCCAGCGCCGCGGCTCACTAGGCTAATCCTCCACCTAGCGGTGCCGGCACACCGGGTTCTAGTCCCGGTCGGGGCACCGGATTCTGTCCCGGTTGCCCCTCTTCCAGGCCAGCTCTCTGCTGTGGCCTGGGAGTGCAATGGAGGATGGCCCAAGTACTTGGGCCCTGCACCCCATGGGAGACCAGGAGAGGCACCTGGCTCCTGCCTTCAGATCGGCGCAGTGCGCCAGGGGCAGCGCGCCAGCCGTGGCGGCCATTGGAGGGTGAACCAATGGCAAAAGGAAGACCTTTCTCTCTGTCTCTCTCTCCCTATCCACTCTGCCTGTCAAAAAATTAAAAAAAAAAAAAAAAAAAGAACAGGGGCAGGCATTTGACACAAAGGTTAAGATACCGCTTGGGACACCCACATCCCATATCAAAGTGCCTCGGTACAAATCCTGGCTCAACTACCAATTCCAGCTTCCTGCTAACTGGGAAACAGCAGATGAAGACTCATGTAGTTGAGTCTCTGCCACCCACGTGGGAGACCAGGATGGAGCTTCTGGCTTCTGCCTGGCCTAGCAGCTGTGGGCATCTGGGGAGTGAGTCAGTGGACGGAAGTTCTCTTTTTGTCTCTCTCTGCCTTTCAAACAAATAAATAAATAAATACAAACTTTAAAATTAAAAAGAATAAGGCATGAGAAAGAGTGCTGCGGGATCACACACTTAAGCCACGCTGGCTTCTGTTAGGGCTTTTCCTGGGAAGGAGCTTAAAGAGCAGTGCAGCCTACAGTCCAGAGAGGAGGATGCACCTGACTTGTGTTGGGGTGTTGAGGAGGCTGCCGAGATGCTGCGCCTGGGACCAGTGCTGTGGAGTAGGTAAAGCTGTTCATATGGGATGCCGGTTCGATTCCCAGCTGCTCCACTTCCAACCCAGCTCCCTGCCCCTTTTCTTATAATTTTTTTTTAAGATTTATTTTATTTATTTGAAAGACAGAGTTACAGAAGGAGGGAGGGAGGGAGAGAGAGAGAGAGAGAGAGAGATATCTTCCAAAGGCTGGCTCACTCCCCACATGGCCACAATGGCCAGAGCTCTGCTGATCTAAAGCCAGGAGCCAGGAGCTTCCTCAGGGTCTCCCACATGGGTGCAGGGTCCATGCACTTGGGCCATCTTCCACTAAGCTTTCCTAGGCCATTAGCAGAGAGCTGGATCAGAACTGGAGCAGCTGGGACTTGAACTGGAGGCCATATAAGATGCCAACACTACAGGCCAGGACTTTAGCCATAGCTCTGGGCATGCGTGCAAGCACGCACGTGTGCGCACACACACACACTCACATCCGCAGCCTCACAAGCTAACAATGCCACTCAGAGAGACAACAATGATCTAACTGCAAAGTCTAGTTCCATAGAAATCCATCATTCTGTGGAGAGAGCTACTGACAACTCTATGAGAAGTCCTTGGTAGCCCCATCTGAGAGGTGACAAAACCCAAACATGCAGTCCTGCGACACACAAATCTAGTAGGAACCTGGGAGAAGACCTTTAGACCCATGAAATGAGAAGAGTCTGGTGCCCACAGCCAACCCTCACATCAGATTAAAAAGAAAAGAGACCTCAACTGAAAATTGAATGCTACGAAGCAAAGAGAATTTCAAATTTCTGCCCTAAAGTGATTACTTCGTGCTTTTTAGAAACATAAAATGATTATCTTTAAATGTTTCTCATTTTTTGTTGTTGTTAGGTGGTGGAAACTCACTCTTTTTTTTTTTTTTTTTTTTTTTTTGACAGGAGAGGACAGTGAGAGAGAGACAGAGAGAAAGGTCTTCCTTTTTCCGTTGGTTCACCCTCCAATGGCCGCCGCGGCCGGCGCACCGCGCTGATCCGATGGCAGGAGCCAGGTACTTCTCCTGGTCTCCCATGGGGTGCAGGGCCCAAGTATTTGGGCCATCCTCCACTGCACTCCCTGGCCACAGCAGGGAGCTGGCCTGGAAGAGGGGCAACCGGGACAGAATCCAGCGCCCCGACCAGGACTAAAACCCGGGGTGCCGGCGCCACAAGGCGGAGGATTAGCCTAGTGAGCCGCGGCGCCGGCCGGAAACTCATACTCTTAATCTGCCTTTGACTAATCCACAATTGTCCATGTCTGCAGGACAAAGTCTAGACATTTTCTCTCTGCCATGCTGCCCTTCACAACATTTTTCAAGCAGTATCATAAAGCATAAAACAAAAATGCAACTTCTCCCTAAATTTAAAAAGAAGCACTGAGCACCTCAAAAACGTTTTTGTCCCCGTCCCCACTCCATCTCAAAGGCTCCAGATCAGTATAAATAGCTCCCTCCGTCCACCATTTCTTTTCACCTCATTCTTGCCTCTGCCCCTCACCCTGGGCCCATAGCGGCTGAATTCTGCTTATTCAGCTGCCCTGAGCTCTCAGCTCCTCCCTCTCCTTAGCTGCACTCCTTTGTTTCACCTTGACCTTTGCAGCAGTCTCTGAAAGGTCTTGCCTCTCCCGTCTTTCCCATTTCAATTCGTCTTTCCCATTCCAATTCATCCTCTGTGCTGGGGTGAGCCGTTCCCCACTCAAACCCTTGCAGTGAGTGCAGTACCCACAGCTAAACTCCAAATCCAGTGCCCTTAGGCCTTCTCCCACTGCCTGGGACTCTGATTTTGTTTTTTTACAACATTGAGCATTGTACAGTTTTCAGTGAGAATGCAAACCACTAGTCAGTTACAAATCACCTCATTAGATCATCTATCTCAGAATTTCTGGTATCCAGCCCAAGCCTGGCGTATAGGGAAAACGTAGGACACTGTTGCTAAGGATGACTCCACTACTTGCTGGCCAGCAGACACAGGAATGACACTGCTTGCTGTGAGAGTCTGAAACCCCATTTTCAAACCTTGCCTTAAAAACCGCACAAAAGTGAGACGTGCATGGTGCTGGCTCTCATCACAGGAACTGCTCTGGGGCCTTCCTGGACAGTCAGCCACTCTGCCCTTTGTGAGACGTAACATTCGGACACGCTAATGCTCACTCCATTGTTCCCGGCCCCATCTCCACACGGGACTAGGGAAGGCAGGTCCCGTAGGCCCCAGGTAGAACTGGTTCATAAAGCAATAACCCAGCACATTCATCACCCAAAAATCAAGCAAACCTAATTCTTCAAAATTACAACATCCATGATTGAATTGAGATGTGTCTTAAAAAAAATAAAAACCAATTAAACATGACCACTACTGGGGTGAGTGTTGTGTGGCGCATCTACAGCCCTTATCATGGCGCCTTTATCAGCTTCCTGCTAACGCATATTCTGAGAGGCAGCAGATGATGGCTCAAGTACTTGGGTTCCTGCTACTCATGTAGGAGATCTGGACTGGGGGCTGGGCCAAAGCCCAGAGCCCAGAACCTGGCTTTGGCCCAGCCTCAGTTCTTGCAGGCATTTGATAAATAGAAATGAACCAGCAGATGGAAGATCTCTCTCTCTCTCTCTCTCTCTCTCCCTCCCTCCCTGTCTCTGTCCTTCAAGTAAAGGGAAAATAAAAGAGAGGGGGAAAAAAAATTGAACAAGAACACCAGGTGCTAAAGAATACCAGAGGTGGTGAAATAAGGAGTAAATGGTTTTTCCTATGCTCCAAATTGCATTTCATGGGAACATATTACTTTTCTCACCCAAAACTTCAAACCTTGCATCTTTTAAAGCAGTAAATGTTTAGGTTTTTTTAAAATGTAGTAAAATACACTTAATATAAAGCTTACCACCTTAACCATTTCCACATGTACCATTCAGCAACGTTAAGTATATTCACATTGTAGTACGATCTTTGGTTTTCCACCTTACAGCTCTGAAACCCAGTACCCATCAACCAGCTCCCATTCACCCCTTGCCACCACTCTGCTTTCTAGGTTCATGTAAAACTCACAAACTCACAAATGAATCTAGATCGCTTGTATAGAGTATGTCATTGTTGTTTTTTGTTGTTGTTGCTGTTTGTTTGTTTTTTGACAGGCAGAGTGGACAGTGAGAGAGAGAGACAGAGAGAAAGGTCTTCCTTTGCCGTTGGTTCACCCTCCAATGGCCGCCGTGGCCGGCGCACCGTGCTGATCCGATGGCAGGAGCCAGGTACTTCTCCTGGTCTCCCATGGGGTGCAGGGCCCAAGCACTTGGGCCGTCCTCCACTGCACTCCCTGGCCACAGCAGAGAGCTGGCCTGGAAGAGGGGCAACCGGGACAGAATCCGGCACCCTGACCGGGACTAGAACCCGGTGTGCCGGCGCCACAAGGCGGAGGATTAGCCTAGTGAGCCGCGGCGCCGGCCAGAGCATGTCGTTTTGTAACCGGCTTATTTCACTGGGCAAATCTTCAAGATTCAACCATGTTGTAGCAGATGTCAGAATTTTCAATTCAAGACTGATTAGCACTGGCATTGTACATTTATACCACACTTTGTTTATCTAGTCACCTTTGCTATCGTGAGAAATGCTGCTGTGATCGCGGATGTACAAATCCCTTTTGGAGACTCTTTCACTCGCTTTGGATATACACCCAGGAGTGGAACTGCTGGATCAGATGGCAATTCTATTTTTAAGTTTTTGAGGAACTGCCACTGCTTCTCACAACAACTTCATGATTTTAAATTCGCACCAACAGTGCACAAGGGCTCCAATTTCTTTATATTCTAGAAAATTTGTTTCAATGGCAGCTACCCCATAGGGTCTAAGGCAGTATCTCACTGAGGTTTTATTTGCAAAGACTTTTAAAAGTGCTTTTAGTATTTATTTTGAAACAGCAATAAACAAGGACAGAGAAAAAGATCTTTCATCTGCTGATTCATTCCCCAAATGGCCACAGTTACCAGGGCTGGACCAGGCCAAAGTCAGGAGCTCAGAACTCCATCTGGGTCTCCCATGCGGGTGGCAGGGGCCCAAGCACTTGAGCCATCTTCTGCTGCTTTCCCAGGCACATTAGCAAGGAGCTGTATCAGAAGCAGAGTAGCCAGAACTCAACCCCATGCTCCACTGAAACACTGGCATTGCAGGCAGTGGCTTAACCCTCTGGGCCACAATACAGGCCTCAGATTTTAATTTTTACAGCAATCTCACGTTCACGGCAAAACTGAGCTCCCGTGTTATCTCCTGCCCTCACATATATATGGCCCCCACTATCCACATCCCCCACCACAGGGTGTCCTTGATGTAATTTGTGAACCTACACAGACACATCATTACCATTCAAAGCTCATAGTTTATGAGCTTTCACTCTTGCTGTTATACATTTAGGGGTTTGGAGAAATACATAATGCCAGGTATTCGCCAGTAAAGTATCATAGATTCAGTGCCCTAAAAACCCTGTGTGCTCCAACAATTCATCCTTTCCTCCCAACTCCTCATCTTTCCACTGTCCACAATGTTTAACCCTTTTCAGAACAGATACCAGTGTCATGGAGTTGTAACCACAAAACACGTAACACATGTAGACTTTCCAGATTCTCTGTCCACTTGATACTATTATTGATTTACTGAGCCTTCACCACTTTTCATGGCCTGACAGTGCGTTTCTTTTAGCATTGAGTTGTACTCCACTGTCCAGCTGTACCAGTTTATTTATCCATCCACCGACTAAAGGACATCATGGTTGCTTTTTCCGGCAATGATAAACAGAACCGCGGCAAGCATCCACATGCTGGCTCTCGTATGAACATTTTCAGTTGCTCTGGGGAAATACCAAGGAGCAAGACTGCAGGACCCAACGGTAGGAGCATGTGTAGAAACCACTCTCCCGACGTGGCTGTACTAGCTTGTGTTCCTGCGAGCAACAGTGAGGGTTCCTGCTGCTCCACATCTTACCTGGATTTCATGTCAGTGTTCTGGATTTCAGCTTCCAGATGGCTGTAGACTTGCTAACTTGCCCTTCCCTGTGGACATGTTACATGGGGATCTTTTCATGTGCTTATTTGCCAGCTATCTTTCTTCCTTTGTGAGGTGTCTGTTAAGGTCTTTGGCCCATTTTTTAAATTTTTTATTTTATTTTTTTGACAGGCAGAGTGGACAGTGAGAGAGAGAGAGAGAAAGGTCTTCCTTTGCCGTTGGTTCACCCTCCAATGGCTGCCACGCCACGCTGATCCGATGGCAGGAGCCAGGTGCTTATCTTGGTCTCCCATGGGGTGCAGGGCCCAAGCACTTGGGCCATCCTCCACTGCACTCCCTGGCCACAGCAGAGAGCTGGCCTGGAAGAGGGGCAACCGGGACAGAATCCAGAGCCCCGACCGGGACTAGAACCCAGTGTGCCAGCACCACAGGCGGAAGATTAGCCTAGTGCGCCGCGGCGCCAGCCTGGCCCATTTAAAAAAAAAATTTTTTTTTGAGGGGCTGGCGCTGTGGCACAGCAAGTTAAAGGCCTGGCCCGAAGCGCCGGCATCCTATATGGGCACTGGTTCGAGTCCCAGCTGCTCCTCTTTTGATCCAGCTCTCTGCTATGGCCTGGCCTGGGATAGCAGTAGAAAATGGCCCAAGTCCTTGGGCCCCTGCACCCACTTGGGAGATCCAGAAGAAGTTCCTGGCTCTTGCCTTCGGATCGGTGCAGCTCCAGCCATTGCGGCCATCTGGGGAGTGAACCAGTGGATAGAAGACCTCTCTGTCTCTACTTCTCTCTGTAACTCTTTCAAATAAATAAAATAAATCTTTTAAAAAAAATTTTTTTTGAGAGACAGAGCTCCCAAACCCGACTTACTTTCTAATCGCCCACAACAAAAATAAATAAAAATAAAATAAATGCCCACAACAGTCAGTGGCTGGGCTAAAGGTAGGAGCCAGGCACTCAATCCAGGTCTCCTATGTGGGTGACAGGAACCCAATTATTTGAATTATCACTGCTGTCTCTCTGGGCTGCATTAGCAGGAAGCTGCTGGAATCATGAGCTGGAGACATGTTTCGAATTCAGGCTCTCCGATACGGGATGTGGGTGTCCTAACTGGTGGTTTAACTGCTAGGTCAAATGTTCATTCCTGGCACATTTTAAAAAAGATTTATTTACTTATTTGTGTCAGAAACAGAGAGAGTCAGAAATCTTCCATCTGCTGGTTCACCCATCAATTGATGGCAATAGTTGGGGTTGGGCCAGGCAAAAGCCAGGAGCCTAGAACTCCATCAGGTCTCCTGCTTGGGTGGTAGGCACACAAGTACTTGAGCCACCACCTGAGACTTCTCAGGCACATTAGCAAGAAGTTGGATTGGAAGTGGAGTAGCTGGGACTGGAACCAACATTCCAATATGAGATACAGGCATCACAAGCAGTGGCTTAACCTACAGCACCACAACGCCTGCTTCCCTGGCCCATTGTTAAATTAGGTTGTTTTATTATTGTTGCATTTTAAGGGTTTACTGTGGTTTTGATTCACTTTTCTCAAATGATTGCTGATGTTGAACACCTTTTCAGTGTTTATAGGCCTGCAGTTTATTTTAAGCACACCAAAAGCTTCTTTACATTTTTAAAAAAGTTTTATTCCTTTTATCACCTCCTTTGTGTACCTGGGAAAGTCCCTCTCCTTTACCAAATGAAGAAGCTAGCCGACTGTGCTTAAAAACCCTCACCCAGCAAGATTTCCTGGTAGAACAGCTGCAAAACCGGAAGCTCAAAGTAGGAGGTGATTGATATAATGGTCCCACTATCAGCAGGAAAATGACAAGCTCGCCCCCTGGTGACAAGTTAGGGGGAAAACCAAAAAAGCAAATTTTCTTAACAGGAAAGGCACACCCACCACAAAAACTACCTGGACCCTGGAGAGAATGCTAATAATACAAACTATAAATCTGTCAGATAAGTTTATTCACAGAGATTATTATTTTAATTGGAAGGGCTTGAAAATCAGAAGGAAAAAAAGCTTTAGTCCCAGGGGACAAAATATGTCACCAAGTCCTTGCTTGCAAATCCCAGCTACAGCTGCCTTGGGGATCTGCTCCCTCCAGATGCTGAGCAGGGCCAGCCAAGCACTGGAGATGCTAATTTTTAACTGAATTAGGCTGGGTTTCATCTTCTTCAGCAACCTGAAGGATATCATCCATTAAGCTGGACATTGCCTATGAATTCAAAGATCTGCCACTAGGGGCAAAAAGCATATCCACACCAATCATTATTCTTCCCAGTCTCCCAGGTGGTACCAGGACACATGCATTTGGGCCATCTTCCACTGCTTTCCCAGGCACATCAGCAGGGAGCTGGAAGTGGAGCAGCCAGGACTTGAACCAGCACCCATAAGGGCTGCCAGCACTGCAGGCGGTTTACCCACTATATCACAACACTGGCCCCTTTTCTGATTTTCAAGCACTCCTGACTAAAATAATAAGATTGACGATGACTTGGCTGATTCCCTTGGGCCCTGTGGCTGCTAATTTTCCCAACCACCTGCCATTGCTCCCCTCCTCCCACCCCACCCCAATCTTTATGGCTTTTTGGGCTCCTATTTTTCAAAGTTGCAAGAGATTGAAAACCAAGATCCCCTAATGTGTGTGTCTTCACAGATACAGCAATAGTGACTGAAATAAACCTCGCAGGCTCCAATCCAGTAGATGCCACTCTGGGGCAATGACTCTATGTAAACAGAGCTACCGATATCAAGTCCCAAGTCTTCCCGCTCCAGCAGGGTGACCTTCAAGGGCTGCATCAGGCTCAGAAACAGGAGGTGCTGGCCTCAAGCTGTCTGTCATCTGGCAGGGAGGCTGGGCCACATTACCCAAAAGTTAGGGGCTGGACATTTTTCTGCTGTTCTTTGTGCAGCTGCCGGGCCCGATCTTTTAGCAGCTCGGCCTTGGCCTCGTCTTTATCGACCCCATCCCCCAGCTTGTACATGCGGCTGGCATTGGCACAGGCCCAGACGTGACCCAGGTCGCAGGCTTTCAGCGAGTATTTACACGCCAGGCCCATGTCCTTAGGGAAGCCAGGGGCACCCTGCAAGAACATGGCACTGAGGTTGAAGCAGCTGGCGGCGTAGCCACCGTCACAGGCCCTCGTGTAGTAGTCCCTGGCCTTGCCCAGGTCAGGTTGGCCATCCTCGTTGACCTGTCCATCGTGTGCCAGGAGACCAACGTTGTGGCATGCTTCCACAGACTTCTTCCCAGGCTTCTCACACGCCATCAGAAAGCAGCTGGAGGCAGCTCGCAGGTCCTGCGTCAGTCCACCTCAGGGAAGGAGAGCAAAGGAAAAGTAAACTGAAGCCAGGGAAGAACCTAAACGTCTCAGGCCAAAGTCAGGGGACAGCTCCTGAAGATCCAGACACCGTGAGCCAAGGCAGCACAAAGGGAGGAGCCTGGTGCAGCCCAGACCTTCCAGCCTTTTCAGTCACGGGGTATTTTGTTCAAATGACCACTTATGAGGAAGCCCAAAACAGGTAAGGGAGGTAAAAACTGGGAACGATAAAAATGCCCACCTCATGGGTTTACAGCATTAATACAGCATCTCACAAGCACTTAATTACATGTTTGCTAATTTAAACACAGCTAGCTCTCTGGGTTCCACATCCATGAATTCAACCAACTACAGACTACAAATATTCAGAAAAAAAACTGCCTGTACTGAACGTGTACAGATTTTATTTCCCCTTCTTATAACCCCTTAAACAGCACAGCGTAACAACTATAGCATTTACAGAGCATTAGATATCGTAAGTAATCTAGAGATTTAGAGATTTACTTATTTCAAGGCAGAGTAACAGAGGGAGAGGAAGAGATCTTCCATCTGCTGGTTTATTCCCCAAATGACTGCAGCCAGGCACATCTGAGCCAGGCTGAAGCCAGGAACCAGGAACTCCACCCTAGACTCCCATGTGGGTGGCTGGGAGCCAAGGACTTGGGCCACCTTCTGTTGCCTTCCCAGGTGCATTAGCAAGAAGCTGGATCAGAAGCCAAGAAGCTGGGACTCGAACCAGCATAGTGATTTGGGGATGCCGGCATCGCAAGCTGCAGGTTAAGCCATTGGGCCACTTATGGTATCTAGAGATGACCTCAAGCATAAGCTAAGATGCTACTTGGGACTCGTGAATTCCACATCAGAGTCCTTGCACAGCCTGATTCCAGCTTCCTGTTAATGCGTACCCTGGGAGGCAGCAGGTGATGGCTGATGTACTTGGGTCCCTGTCACCCAAGTGGAAGACCCAAATAGAATTCTCAGGTCCTGACTGTGGCCTGGCCCAGCCCCAGCCATTGAGGGCATTGAAGAAATGAACTGAAGGCTGAGAGCTCTCTCCGCCTGTCTCTGTCTCTTAAATAATTAAAATAAAACCTCCATGTGCCATCTCTCATTCTCAAAAACCACAAACACTGTAACATCATTCTTTAAGGTAAATATTCCAAATCCACCACTTAGAAATCATCATCATCATGTGGTAAGCCCCATTCCAGCCACCTCTACAGCACGTGTTTATGTGAAGTGCTGCCAGCAGAATGGATATTGGAAGTATTTTGTAAACTGGATCATGTATGTTAGTTGTAAATACAAAATTTCACTTTGACTTTACTTGGATCTATCTGAAGAAAATCAAAAGTGAAGTGAAACAAAGGAAATGCTGACCCACAAATTAGTATTTCTGCACCACAGAGAAATTTCCTAAATGAGTCTCTAAAGGAAATCAGAAAAATATTAAAAGGCTAGCATCGGGGCCAGCGTTGTGGCATAGTAGGTTAAGTCTCCACCTATGGCGCCAGCATCCCACATGGGTACCTGTTTGAGCCCCGGCTGCTCTACTTCCAATCCATCTCTCTGCTTATGGTCTAGGAAAGCAGCAGAGGATGGCCCAAGTGCTTGAGCCCCTGCACCTATGTGGGAGACCCAGAAGAAGCTCCTGGTTCCTGGCTTCGGATCGGCCCAGTCCCAGCTGTTGTGGCCATTTGGGGAATGAACCAGCAGATGGAAGACATCTCTCTCCCCCTCTTTCTGTCTCTAACTCTCTCAAATAAATAAATAAATAAATCTAAAAAAAAAAAAAAAAAAGAAAGAAAAGACTAGAATCACCACCATATACTGTCAACCATAAAAGCAAGGACAGCCACACCTCATAAACCCTCCCTCCTTTGCCACATCTGCTGTCAGTCACATTACGTGCACCCAGACAACACAGCACAGTGATCAATGATATGTAGCCAGAAAACATGAGCTCCAGTGCTTCCTGGCTGTGTAACCTTGGGGAAGTTACACAACTGATACAAGCCTCCTTTTTCCTCATCTGCAATATAAGAGTAACAACACATATTTTATATATTGGGAGCCTGAGTATATCCTTACAAAGAACCTAGTATGGGGCCGGCACTGTGGCGTAGCGGGTAAAGCCTCAACCTGCAGTGCCAGCATCCCATATGGGCTCTGGTTCAATTCCCGGCAGCTCCACTTCTGATTCAGCTCTCTGCTATGGCCTGGGAAAGCAGAAGATGGCCTAGCTCCTTAGGCCCCTGCACCTGCGTGGGAGACCCGGAAGAAGCTCCTGGCTCCTGGCTTTGAATCGGTACAGCGCTAGCCGTTGCAGCCAATTGGGGAGTCAACTAGCAGATAGAAGACCTCTCTCACTCTTCCTCTCCTTCTCTCTGTGTAACTTTGACTTTCAAATAAATAAATAAACCTTAAAAAAAAAAAAAAGCTTAGCACATAATAACCATGGCAAATGTTATAGTTATGTTTTTATGCCAGAAAGGTTTATTTATTTTTTGAATTTTTATTTATTTGAGAGAGATATCTCCCATCTGCTGGTTTATTCTCCCTCTGTTTGCGACAACAACTAGGGCTGGACCAAGCTGAAGTCAAGAGCCTGGAATTCAGACTGTGTACTGGAGTCATCACCTGCTGCCTCCCAGGTCTGCATTAGCAGGAAGCTAGAATCAGGAGCAGAGCCCCAGCTCAAACCCAGGTACCCCACTATGGGATTCAGGTGTCCCAAGCAGTAGCTCAACTGTCACGTCAAATGCCCACTCTAAAGGTGTATGTAATTTATATTCTACCTATTCAGTAATCTTAATTAGCCCAATATTCAACCTAAATAGATTCTGCTCGTCACTAATCTTTCTATAAAAGTTTCTCCATTCCCCACTTATAAAATTTGAAGCAGAGAGAAAAAGTGAGAGACAGAGCTAGAGAGAGCGAGCTCCCATCCACTGGTTCACTCCCCAAATGCCCACAATGGTTGGGGCTGCACGGCGGCCCAAGCTAAGAGAAAAGAACTCAATCCAGGCCTCCCGTGTGGGTGGTGGGGTCCCAAATACTTGAGCCATTGACCTGCTGCCTCCTGAAGTCTGCATTGCCAGGAAGCTGAACTAGGAGCTAGAGCTGAGAATCAAACCCAGGCACTCCAGTGTGGGACAAGGACAATATATTTATTTGAAAGGCAGAGTGGCAGAGAGAGAGGGAGAAACACAGATCTTCCATCCACTTCCATCCACTCCAAAATGGCTGCCAACAGCTGGGGCTGGGCCAGGCTGAAGCCGGGAGCCAGGAACTCCAGCCAGATCTCCTAAATGGGAGGCAGGGACCCAAGTTTTGGGGCCATCTTTCGCTGCGTTTTTAGGCATATTAGCAGGGAGCTGGATTGGAAGTGAAGCAGCCAGGACTTGATCCAGCACTCTGATACAGAGTGCAGTGTCCCAAGCTGGGGCTTAAATGCCTGTGCCACAGCCCCATCAAGGGCATCAATAATCAGTGTATTAACCACTAGACCAAATGCTCCTCTCGTGAATTTTTTTTTGATTCACAGATTTTTCTACAAGAGCTCATTGATTCTCCATCTCCAGAGTTCTTTCAATTTTGATAATGTATTCCTGCCACCTTTATATTTAAATAGTATATAGTTGGGTCTTTGTGTTTATACCTATCCTGATGATCTCTGCCTTTTATTGGAGTGTGTACTTACATTTAATATAATATTAGTGATCTCAAGCTAGGTTTATGTCTATAATCTTACCTTTTCTGATTTGTCCCAAATGATTTTGTTCTTTTTTTCCCTTTTCCAGACTTGTTTTGAATTACATTGTTTCTAACATTCTATTTTATTTCCCTCAACAGCTTTTTAGTCACACCTCCTGTTTTATAAAGGTTTATCTAGCAATTATCTGTGCCCATAACTTAGCACAATCTACCATGAGTTAATATTACAGTGTTTCACACACCATGGGCAAGTCTCCTAAGGTGTCCTTCTATCCTCCGCGGTCCCAGTCTTTGTGCTATGCTGCCATGCATTCTGCTTTACTTCTCTGCATTTTGTATGCTCACAGCACACTTTTATGTTTACTTTAAACAGTCTTTTGAAGACATTAAAAACCTAGGTAAAAGTCTTAAATATACACGCATAATCAATGTTCTTTACCCTCTAGGATGAATCCTAATTTCCACCTGTTGTAATTTTCCCTCTGCCTAAACACCTTGCTTTAGCATTTCTTGTAGTGTAATATGGCTAGTGACACTTCTCTCAGCTTTTTCTAAAAATGAATTTTTTTTACCTTCAGTTTAACTTCATTTTAGTTCAAGTTATATTAAGTAATAAATAATTCACTAATGCAACTTTGACAGGTTTTTCAGTTTCTGGCTCCCACTGCTGCTGGTGAGAAGTTCATGGTCACCAGGACCATTGTACCCCAGACTGTACCTTCCTTCTATGTCTGTTCTTAGATTCTTCTCTTTCTTCGGTCATCTTGGTTGCATTTGCTGAGTTTTATGGATCTGTGGGATTTTTTTTTTTAATCAAATTTAGAAAATTTCCACTGTTATCTCTGTGAATGTGTTTATTTATTTATTTATTTATTTTAATTTATTTGACAGGTAGAGTTACAGACAGAGAGAAAGGTCTTCCTTCCATTGGTTCACTCCCCAAATGGCCGCCACGGTCAGAGCTACGCAGATCCGAAGCCAGGAGCCATGTGCTTCTTCCTGGTCTCCCACACAGGTGCAGGGCCCAAGCACTTGGGCCATCCTCCACTGCCTTCCCAGGCCACAGCAGAGAGCTGGACTGGAAGAGGAGCAACCGGGACTAGAACCTGGCACCCATATGGGATGCTGGCGCCGCAGGCGGAGGATTAACCTAGTGTGCCACTGCGCCGGCCCCAGAACGTGTTTTCTGTTCCAGCATCTCTTGCTTCTGTTAGGCTGCCAGATATGGAACCACAATTTGAAGCTCTGTTGTTTTTCTTGTCCCCCGCCTTTAGCA